AAATGGGATCCTGAAAAATATTTAGTTAACACAAAAGAAGGAAGGAAATAAGGAAGAAAAAAATTTTAAAAACCCAATGAGATAAATAGAAAATGACAAAATGGCAGACAAAATACAGCCAGATGAAGAATCCTGTTACAGCAAACTCCCTGAACGCTCCAGTCAGAAGGCAGAGATTGTACAAACAGCAAGAAAGCAAATGCCAACCACATACGTCTACGTGAGACGCACTTTAAACACAAACAGACTTAAAGCGAGAAAGGTGGAAGATACCCCATGCAAACAGCAAGTGCCAGAAAGCAGGAGTTGTTCTATGAGCAGCAGACAGAACGGACTCACGAAGAGGAGAATCACCAGGGACAAAGAGGATCCACCTGTTAGGAAGACATGACAAGTACGAGCCTTCACGCAGTCTGCGACAGACGGACAATTCTCAATGGAAACTCCATTCTGGGGAAGGAGGAGTGTGCATTTGGGGTCGACAGCTAGTCTTTCCAGGCACAGGTAGATTACCTCCCCTCTCTGTAAAGCAGGCTGCTTCTTTATCAGGTTGCTGGGAGAATTAAATGGCTGCCCACAGGAAACACCATCACGTGGTTGTTGTTGATGATCTGGTTAGGTCATCTTGGGGCAGACTGCACAGTGTTCAGAAGCTTCACCGAGCACAAGCTCGGGTAAAATAGCTGTCCCTCTTTCCAGGGAAAAGAATCCCTGAAGGAGGGCCGAAGCAAGTAGAGAGCCCCCACAAGTGTCATTATAGGATCAGACATGGGACTGCAAGGGAGGAAAAGAATGTTGCGGACGGTTGGGGTGGGGGAGGGTCCAAAGAGAACTTGGATCTGGGAAGAGACTAGAGAGAGGACACGCATAACGAAAAGATTAAGTTTGCTGTGTGGTGTGAAATGTTGCCTTCTCCTCCACCTGTCCTGAAAACGTCAGCAAGATCTACGCTGCTCACCAAAGTAGTTAGGATAAAGTTCAGCAGCGGGTAACAGAAATGCCGAAGAGCGAGGTCATGAACAAGGTGGACGCTTCTTTCTCTGCTGTGTCAGAGTCAGAGGTGGTCAACCCAGGGCTGGCGTGGGGCTCCACACTGCACCGAGATCCTTCCGGTGTCCTCTTCTGTTTCGCCTCAGGCACAGCTCTTGCCCTCCGGGTCCAACCTGAATTTGGAGCGGCCGTCACCACAACTATATTCCAAGCAGCAAGATGAAAGAGGGGAAAGAACAGGGACGCACTTCTTTTCTTTCAAGATTTTCCAGAAATTCCTCGCAATCTTTCCTCTGAAATCTCATTGGCAGGAACTCATCACACGGCCACTCCAGGCAGAGCTGTAGGCTAGAAAATGCCGTCTGGACAGCAACATATCCAAATGAAATCCAGGGGTCTCTTACTGCAGAAGGTGACTTATCAACGCTTATAGATGTATCTGCAGGTGTGTTACTGGTGCAGGTTTACGTGTGGAAAAAAGATGTGCGTGACAGGCGGGTCTACTGAACGCAGATTGAAAGGCTGTCAGTGGGAGCCCGTTTCTCAGAGTCAGGCCAGTCATAGAAACGATGTTTCCTTTTTTCTCGTTAAATTCTTATCACAGTTACGAACTAGTCCTTGATTGTTCCAGGTGAGTTTGCGTCTTACTCTCAGCTCTCCAGTGAGATTTGGCTTCACTGGAGGTTTGGTCGGCCTACAGGTCAAGTGCGGGGCAGACGATGGCGCGAGACCCAAACTGCACACAGTCATGACTGTACGCAACAGTGAATCTTTTACAGGGTGTGGGACACATCCGTAAGTGTGACCCCTCACCTGCCTAATGTCATGAATTCTGTGGTTCTGGAACTTCTTGGTCCGATTCCTCGTGGGCTGCCTCAGTTACTGAACTGGGACATTTTCTTCCTTTCTTTTCTTTTTTTCTTTTCTTTTTTTTTGCTGAGGAAGATTAGCCCTGAGCTAACATCTGTGCCGATCTTCCTCTATTTTGTATGTGGGCATATTTTGTATGCCACAGCATGGCTGACGAGTGGTGTAGGTCTGCGGCTGGGAACTCAACCAGTGAACCTGGGCTGTAAAAGCACAGTGGGCCAAACTTAACTGCTAGGCCATTGGGCAGCCCCTGAACTTGGGCATTTGTGAAGTAGGAGGAAGGCATCAGGGAACCTGTCCACTCCCTCGCATCCTCATCTGGTGTGCAGATCCCAACACTGCTTGTCTGGTTGTTCAGTGGTAAACCAAAGAGAAAGTGGCCTTGAACTGTCAGCATTCTCATCCATCTTTGAACCTGGATTGGACCTTATAAGCTGATCCAGCTCAAAGGGAAAAAGATTCCGCTGTCTATACTTCCAGCAGTTTCCCTGTACTTCCTCTCCACTCCATTTTTTTATCCTTAGGCCAAGTTGACCCGTGTACACAGGACCAGGTGAAAACCGAAAGCTGACAATGTTCAGCCCTGCTCAAGGCTGTTCGTGGCGTCACCCCAGGTCATCCCCCCGTTTACTCAGCAACACTCACGGGTGCTTGCTATGTTCCAGGCACTTGCTCTGTGCTGGGAGCACAGCCAAGAACAAGAGCTTCAAGGTCTCCTCAGAGAGCCCTTCCCGAGTGTCCGTCCACAGTGTCTCCCTCGGCCAGCCGGCATCCGCACTCTCCACCTTGTGTCTGTTTCATCCACGTCCCCTTTGAGCAATCTGTCTGTCACTGGGTCGCACTCTAGTCTTAACTCTAAGTTCCATGCGGGCGGGCAGAGTCCACCTGCCCCGTTCACCATCGCGCCCCGTGGCCAGTGCAAGGGGATGCACGTCAATCAGACGTTGGACTAATATAACGGACCCTCAATACATAGCTGTGGTTTTTCTGATTAGAGTTCAGAATTTAGAATAAACAAGTCCCCCCCCAAAAAGCTTTGAGAAAAATCTCTTTAATAATTGACTCATTTGTTAATAAGTCAAATCTGCATGTTCCACAATGGTTCTGATAACTAGCATGATGTTTTATGTGAAACAAGTTGACTGTTCTCATCGCCAACATAGTTGTTTGCCGAATGCTATTGGACCTAATTTATCAGCAGGTGGCGCTCCAGAGTGGAGCCGAACAGACTTCCCACCCACCCTCTCCCACCCAACTCCCCAAACTTTTTTCATGTGTGATACATTAATTAGTAAGCGGTTACCAGTGAGAAAAGTCTTTCGCATTTTTCTAATAAATTCTTCACACTCTTAGGCGGCATTTAGATAATTCCTGTTACAGGAGCATCCCCAGACAAACTTGTATGTGACATGCAAGAAATTCTCAGGAAAGAGCCAAAACTAAAAAATTATGTGTTGCATTCCAACAACATTGAGGACTGAGGAGAGGTGAGCTGTGAATCAAGGTCATAGGAAATGGGAAAGCCAACTGCTGTCACGTCTCCCCAGATCAGCTCACTCAGGGGTCTGACAGAGTTGAGGGGAGCCCTGGGCCGCACAGGTGATGAATTAGAAGTTCTTCACTGAGACCTCCTGTCACATCCCACGGCCAGTCTTCCATTTCATGCACATCTGTTATTAGAGTGGCTGTCATGGAAGTGTGGCTGTGAACCTTGTGCACACGCGGCAAGTGTAAACGAGACTTCATGGAGCACCTCAATACACGTAATCTTACTTCCCATTTGATCTTCACACCCGTCCTGTCGGGCGCAGGTGTTCTTAGGCTCATTCCGAAGCTGACTCGGAAAGACGGGGTGATTTCAGCGAGGTAATTAGCTAGTAAGCCACAGAGCAGGGAATAGAACCCAAAACTTCTGACGGCTTCAATGGTCATTTTTCTACATCATATTAAACTTTCTTTTTATGCATCTAAGATTTCTTCCGTAGTATTTCAATTACATTCACAGATACAGCGTTTGCATTTTAGAAAGAAATTTGACAGGTACACAATTATGTACTAGTTAAAAAATTGTATGTTCAGATTTAAGGGAAAACAAAATCCTTTATTTCCTCCCAAAAAAGTCTCTCAGGCTCTGCTTAGAATTCCCATAATTGTCTTCTTCTAGGCTTAAAGTCAGTTACAATAAGTTACTTGGAAAAAAGTAACTTAAACCACTGTCACCCACTGACATTTTAGTAAAAACTGTTTATTATGTCGTTAACATTAATTACTCAGCAAAAGCCTAGGGGAAAAGGCAAGGACCTGGCAGTTTGGTTGGCGGAGGTATAACATGGTCATTAAAAGTGAGGACTCTGGAAACAAACAGACACCAAAGGGTATAACCCACTTTTCAGAGGTTCAAGAACAGGCAAAGCTAGTCCGTGCGAGAGGTCAGAGGCCTCCCGCCGGAGAAGCGCAGCAGCCTTCCCCACTGGGGGTGCTGGTGGTTAGACGGGTGCAGCACCGGAGCTCACACAAGGAGGGACCGCAGCATCGCACACTGACTAGGCGTGCGTTACGCTTTGGTTTCAACAAGTGAACTTTTGAAAGAGCGAGAGCTCTGAAGCCAGAGGCCTGACCACCTGAGGCCCGCCGTTTACTAGAGCTAAGATCCTGCACTCCTCTAAGCCACAGGACCCTCATCTGGAAAACTGGGCTAATGCCACTACCATCTACCTCACGGGGTGCTGCTTGGCTTTGGAGAGCTGGCACGCTTCACGCTCAATATTGAGCAACCGTGATTATCATCATTACTGTCACTGTCGTCATAAAGGGCAGGGCGAGGAGCAGGAGACAAAAGGGAGAAGCTACATCCACACATAGGACTCGACTGAGCGGAACAGCATGGAAGGGCAACCGCGGACGCCCATGCACAGAATGAACTGGAGAAGCAGTGCTAGGATGATCTGGTAAATCCAGGCTCTCGGAGTCCGGTCACCTGAGGTTGCATCCAGACTCTGCCACTTACCAGACGGGCTACCCTGTCCAAGGTCCTCGCCTCCATAGAAAAGTAGAGACATCATGTCTGCCTCATACAGTTTTTGCAAGGAAAGGCGTTTGGAGCAAGGGGTAAAGACCTTGTTTTAGAAACATGTAAATACCTGTGGAATATTTACCACGGAGATGAAATAACACCAATGAGTTTTTCATCTTGGCTGGATCATCCCATCATTGCCGTCTCTGTTTAAAAGTCATACAGCGGCTTGTCTGGTGGCATAGTCGTTAAGTTCCTGTGCTCTGCTTCAGCGGCCTGGGGTTCACAAGTTCAGATCCCGGGCACAGACCTACACACTGCTCATCAAGCCATGCTGTGGCAGTGTCCCATACACAAAATGGAGAAAGATCAGCACAGATGTTAGCTCAGGACCAATCTTCCTCACCAAAAAAAAAAAAAAAAAAAAAAGAAAAAAAGTCATACATAAGAGAAGCCTTCCTAACTATTCTATCTGAAGTAGTGTATTAGTTTCCCAGGGCGCCATAACTAGTTAACACAAACTGGGTTCATTAACACAATAGAAATCTACTCTTTCACAGTTCTGGAGTCTAGAAATCCAAATTCGAGGCATCAGCAGGGCTGTGCTCCCTCCCAAGGCTGGAGGGGAGAATCTTCCTGCCTCTTCTAGTTTCCAGCAGTTGCTAGCAGTCCAGGTGTTCCTGGCTTGTAGATCCCACCCCAGGCTCTGCCTCCTCCATGCGCATTCTCCGCTGGGGGTCTGGTCTCTGTTTTCTCATTTCATAAAGATATTAGTCATTGGATTAGGACCCACACTAATCCAGTATGATTTCATCTTTTTTTCCCTTCTTCTTCTTCTCCCCAAATCCCCCCAGTACATAGTTGTATATGTTAGTTGTGGGTCCTTCTAGTTGTGCTATGTGGGATGCTGCCTCAGCGTGGCCTGACGAGCGGTGCCATGTCTGCACCCAGGATCTGAACCAGTGAAACCCTGGGCCACCAAAGCAGAGTGCATGAACTTAACCACTCAGCCACGGGGCCGGCCCCTGATTTCATCTTAACTACTTACATCTGCAAAGAGCCTGTTTCCAATAAAGTCACATTTTGAGGTTCTGAGTAGACATGAACTTTTAGGGGACACATTCAAGCCAGTACAGGTAACTTTTACCAATAAGACAATAATAAAATAATCCAATACGTCATAACCATTCTTTATTAAAAAACGCATATTTACTTTATAGCACATATTGACTTTGTTCACTTCTTTGCTCTGTCCCTCCGACTGGAATCTAAGCTCCTGACGGTAAGAACCAGCACAGTGCCAGCATTCAGTCGAGGTTCAAAAAACATTTGAAAGGTGAATTAGTTGATTGTGACTGGGAGAAACAAAGAAAGATAATTCAGTATAAAATAAAAAGTTCTTAGCCATTGCCCTGGGAACTTTCCCACCACTTTCAAGTCACGTTTTTTATTGTGATCAGTAGATAACTGAAATAAATTAGTTGAATACTGAAAAAGTATTGACCAAGTGTTCCAGCCACGACACGGGCTTTATCTGAGTGCGGGGTTTGTAAGAATTCCTTCAGAGGCTACGAGGGGAACTGGCGGGGGGTGCAGTGGGCAGGGAGCAGATGGCTTCCCCTCCCGCCTGCATGCTTGCTTCAACTGTTCTCATTTGTTTTATGCAGCTTTTTTTGGGGAAAGAAATAGCTTCTTTTTTTTTCAAGTTTGAGAATCACTGATCTACAGATAAGCAAACAGCTCATCAGATTTTTTTTCTTAAATATTTGTCTAAGCGGCTATTCTCTTACAGTAAAAATAATTAATTGCTCTTTGGCATTGCCCTCCTGATAATGAGAGCTAATTTGCATCCTCGCTCTTACCTTGAAAAGTTCAGTTGAGTTTTAAGAGTAAAGCACTCATTTGGTTGGTTGTTTTTTTTTAATTTTGTTTTTGAGGTGACACTGGTTTCTAACATTATATAAATTTCAGGCATACATCACACTTTGATTTCTGTGAAGACTATGTTGTGTTCACCACCCAAAGTCTAATTGCCATCTGATAAATCCTAACTTAAAAACCACTTTCAATCAACATTATGGATTTGTAAATTCACCCTCATGTCTGGATCCCAACCACTTCAAAGGGTGTCACACAGAACTGGAGTCACACGGAATCGGGCGTGAAATGACCCTGGTGATTTCTCAGGTGTGATCCCGGGTAAGTCATTTCTTTGTTTCTTACCTGCAAAAAAGGGACAATGACACCTATTTCACAGGGTTGTTGGGAGCATTATGCAAAAGCACCTTGCACACAGCAGGTGCCAAATAAATGGTGGTTTCTTTCCGTCAAATAGTATATTCAAACTTTTTTCAAGGATTTGTTGTACCACTTTCTCTAATTTCAACTTTCTTATGCTGAAGAAGGCTGGTATTCTATTTATTACTCAGTAAAATTAAAATTTTGCTTATATTTTGCTTTCTGTATATGCCTCAAATTATCTCAAGTTATTTCAAATCAGTAAGAGGCTAAAGGTCTTTCTAAAAACATAACTAAAAGAGGCTAAATAATAAATGACATATCTCAAAGAATATATATTTCCTATCTTGATTTACACATGACCTTTTGAAACTGGCATACACGTCATCAGCGGGCGTAATGCCCTATCAACAGATGGATGTGATCGCTCAGGTGCCAGAAATCCGGGCTGGCCACAGCTCACGTAGTGTTAAAATGGTGACAGTTCTTGTAATTGGTCATCTGTTCCCAGTAATAAGTCTACTAGAAATAGAAAACAAATTCTGAAGTACATGAATGTTTATTCAATCTTGAGCAGGAATTTATAAATATTTCATATTTCATTTGTGGCACCCTTTAAACTCTATCAATGTGCATCTGAGGTAGATAATCTTCTTTCTATACTTATAGCTGAAAAAATACCAGAGTTGTTGGTTTATAGCAATAGTTCTGTTTTTCTAGTTTTTGCCTTTCTGGTTTCTCCTTTCTAGTTCAAATTCAGCAGAGTTATTCCTAAAATCAACAAGCAGAGATTCCTAAACTATGTAGTAATTATATTTGCAAAGCTGCAACAATGAGGATGTTCAGTTGAATGGTATTTATAATAGAGAAAAACTGGAAAATGCTTAGACAGTCAACAACGGGATTGGTTTAATAAATTGTCCTATCCACACAATGGCTAAATTATGCCATATCCAAACCACACTATGCAGCCACTAACATTACGTGGTAGGAGAATATTTAAAGAAATGGGAAATGATCATAATATTTTACCATGAAAATGTGTAACATAAATGATTATAAAAATATTTCAATCAAGGATAAACTGAATAGATTTGGGAGTTCTTTATCCTGTGTTCAGAATCTACCGTTTCTTGTCCCCTCCTCTGCCACTGCCCTGGTCCATGTTACCATCCGCTGTCATCCGGACCATACAGCATCCTAACTGGCCTTCCTGCTTCTGCTCTTGCCCACTTCAGTCAGACCTGGTTAACAAAACAGACCTGTCACTTCCCTGCTTCGAATCCTCTCATGTCTTGCCACCTCACTTGGAGTCAAAGTCATCACCATGGCTCACAGGGACCCATGTGACTGAAACTCTGTCCCTTCTCCCCAGGGCCTCCACTCTCATGATGGCCCTTCCTACCGCGTCTCCCATTGCACTCCCACCCGCTCACTCCTTTCCAGTCCTACGGGTCTCCTGGTGGGACCTGGAAACGACCAGGACTCTGCATTTGTAGTTCCCTCTTGCCTAGAATGCTCTTTCCCGAGATGGTCAATGGCTTATCCTCTTCCTTCCTCCAGGTTCCCATTGAGTCAGCTGTTCAGAGAGGACTTCCTTTCATCCCATTTAGCCTTGCAGCCCTCCCCACCCCCCCCTGGACTCCCTATATTCCTCTTTCTCCCTAGTACCTACCCACAGCCAACACACCAAAATTTTGCTTATGTACTTTTGTCTATCACCTGCCTTGCTCTCCCCACGAGGCAGGGGTTGGGGTCGGCTTTGCTAACTGAATTATCTCCATCTGGCACACAGGAGATGCTAGAAAGAGGGAACTGTGAATAGAGACTTCATTCAGTGATCCAGTTTCTCAAGGTCAAGAGTAGGTTGTAGAATTCAAGAGAGCAGTTTAGGAGGGTTGAAACTTAAGCTCTGTATTTATATAGCCATGAATTTGTTTTACAAAGAACTGTCCCAGTGAGAATGATCGTGCCTGTTTATCAATATCCTCCACTAATCAGGCAGCCAATCTAAAAATCCAAGCCAGAAGTTAAGAAAGAGATCAAGTTAGCTGGGCTTTCTTAACTGCTGTCAAGTGCTTAAGGAGAGAAGGGCTATGAACTCTGTTGTAATGGATTAGGTGAAAGGTTCTTGGTCAAACTCCACTTTCCACATTATAAGAATATGTAAACTAAACAGGCTTGATTGAGCACACCGCAATTTAACTGCTGTACTTTTTAGGTTTTAAAGCCATGAGCTTGTCTGACAAACGCGAAATGTGTTTTCCCCCTGGTTATTTGTCTAGCAATTATTAACGATCAGGCCAATGAAGCAGCTATCCGGCATAATGCTAGGCTTCCTTCACTAACACATAATTTATTATTAATGAGGCCAAAAGAATGTTCTACTGAAAGAATGATAGTTCAAGCTGATGCCATTAACATAGGAGATGAGACCTAAAATTTATTAAGATTTCATACTTTTGTCAGAACTAAGAAATAACTTTTTTTCTCCTTAGAAAGTCTGAATTTATGTATATCTGTCTTTTAAAAAAATAACAAAAATTATGGTTTAACTAATAAGGATCTCTGGATTTTTAACAGAGTTATACATATTAATTTAGACTATTAGAAAATATGCTAAAGATAACCGCAATTATAATATCGAGTGATTTTCCAAATAAAACCTTAAAAAGCATAGGTGCTCTTAGGAGCTCCTGCGGGGACAAGACTAGAAGCCGTGCGGGCTGCAGTCTCCCTACACGTCTGGCACAGAGGCCGGGGTCACAGGCAAGCGACTGTGCAGGAGCAGGGGCTCTGCGTTTGGTGGCATTGTCAGATTAACCAGCTCCTCGATATCTTTTTAAAGTGGGGTCGCTAGACTTCGAGAACAACGTATAGAGAACGGATAAATTCCCACGGAGAACGTGCACAGGTAGAGGGAAGGCAGGGTGAGGGGAAACAGGGCAGCAAAAAGTCCTGGGAAACTGGGTCAGCATGGACTGCTCCTTCTCTCCACTCCCTACGCTTGTGCACTCGGAAGCTTGCACAAGCTGCAGCCCAGCCCAGAGCTGACGGGTCAGTGTTGCCCTTTGTGGGGAAAACTTGAGGAGCACAACATCCACAGCCCACATCACTGCGTCAGGTTAACGGGCTAATCCTTCTCCACCTTTCCACAATATCTCTCGTCAACGCAGCTGGGTCCCCAGGCCTTGATGAGCCCTGCTTCCGGCCCTGTTTCTAGGAGACTGGAGTCTGTCTGCCCCAGCTCTGGCTGGAGTGCTTCTGCAGGAAGGAAAGTCCTCATCAGGGAGGAGGACTGAAAGCAAGCGAGGCGCCGGTGTCAAAGGCTAACTTGCCTTCCGAAGGTCATCTAGGCGCAGCTCACCTGACATGGGGTCTAGTTTAGCACCAGTGCTGAGGACGTGTGCAATGGGCAGAGCCAGGGAGCATGCCACCTTAGCAACCCGAAGATTAAGTCTGTCAGACAGCAGGGTTCTCACAGCTCATATCTAATGATTTAATATTTTAATGAATTTAATCTCAACACTCATATTTTAATGGCTCCACTGCGACATTTAACATTTGTACACATTAGAGGGGAAAAAATAGAATGATGCCCTTTCATTTCCTTACTTTTTGAATCCTCAGACTGTGTTGATTTAAAAGCAAGAACATTCTGGTGTCAATATAAGACAAAAACACTGAGGGGCTACACTTTATTGCTACCTAATTCTCCTCATGACCACTTTTTTTTTTTTTTTTTTGCTGAGGAAGATTTGCCCTGAGGTAACATTTGTGCTCCTCTATTTTGTATGTGGGACACTGCCTCAGCATGGTCGCTGATGATTGGTGTAGGTCCACGCCCGGGAACTGAACCCAGGCAGCCACAATGGAGCACACCGAACTTAACCATTAGGGCCTGGGGCTGGCCCCTCACGACCACTTTTTATATGTAAAGCTTGGTGATTGCCAGTGTGAATGCACAATTTTTCAGGTTAACAGAATCCCAACAGCCACAGAAAAGAAGAAACAGTGGAGTCTGCTTCTTCCCATACGGGAGGCACACCACGCAGACGTTTTCAAACTTGAGAAGACCCCAGCATGAGTAGAGTGAAAGTTTGTACAATAGAGTAGGATATACACAGACACACAGTTGTAAAGGAAAAACTCTTTCCTTTTCCTTCTCTATACACGACACTCACACTTCACTTCTGACACTTCTAGTCACCAAACGTGTGGGTTTTTCCCCACACCAAACAATTCGATTCTCTGCAGACACCAGCTGGGTGGCCTACAATTTAATCCTGACACTGTCTACCTGGAGATGGCATCAGACCCTCCAGGTGAGGGGCTCAGCCCCACAAGACCGCCCCCTGTTCAGATGCTGGTCACAAGTCCGGGTTGTTGCCTGCGCTTCTGACCTGCTGGCTATAAAGCGGAGGTTCCCACAACCACTTCGGGTTTGATTACTTTGCCAGAACGGCTCATAGAACTCAGAAAAACAGTTTACTTAATAGATTACCAGTTTATTATAAAGGACATACAACTCAGAAACAGCCAGATGGAAGAGATGCACAGGGCACAGTGTAGGGGAAGGGCATGAAGCCTCTGTGCCCCGTCCAGGTGGGCCCCTGTCCCTGCACCTGTTCACCAGCCCAACAGTTCTCCAATCTCGGCCTTTTGAGTTTTTATGGAGGCTTCATTACAGTAGGCAGGATTGATTAAATCATTGGTCATTGGCAATTGATTCGACCTCCAGATGAGTCCTCTCCCTGGAGGTAGAGTGGCGGGGCTGACAGTTCCAACCCTATAATCAGGTGGTCGGTTCCCCTGGCAACCAGGCCCCACCTTTAGGGGGTTTTCCAAAATTCACCACATTAACATAAACTCAAGTGTGTTGGGAGCGGCTTGTTATGAACAAGACAACTTTACCTCTTTTTTTTTTTTTTGAGGAAGATTAGCCCTGAGCTAACTACTGCCAGTCCTCCTCTTTTTGCTGAGGAAGACTGGCCCTGAGCTAACATCCATGCCCATCTTCCTCTACTTTATATGTGGGATGCCTGCCACAGCACAGCTTGCCAAGCGGTCCCATGTCTGCACCCAGGATCTGAACTGGCGAACCATGGGCCACCGAAGTGGAATGTGTGCATTTCACCACTGCACCACCGGGCCAGCCCCATACCTCTCTTATCAATTAGGAAATTCTAAGGGTTTTAGGAGCTCTGTGCCAGGAATGGGGATGAAACCCAAATATATATTTCTTATTAAAAATCACAATATTGGACCAGACCCTGTGGCCTAGTGGTTAAGTTCAGTGTGCCTGGCTTTGGCGGCCCAGGTTCAGTTCCCAGGCATGGACCTACACCACTCGTCTGTCAGTGGCCAAGTTTGGGGGGCGGCTCACATACCAAAAGAAGAAGATTGGCACAAATGTTAGCTCAGGGTGAATCTTCCTCAGCAAAACAAGGAAGACTGGCACAGATGTTAGGTCAGGGTGAATCTTCCTCAGGAAAAAAAGAAAAAAAATCACGCTATCACAACAGTACAGTACAACTTTGAGTTATACAAATTATACTTGCATCAATCAAGGAAAAAGTGCTAGTGAAACACTTACTTTGTGAAAGATTTTTACACTAACTGATACGGACTGGATCTTTGTCCTTGGAAAATGTATGGTCTATTTTTGGAAGCTAAAACAGACACAGGATAGCAGACACTAAGGGTTAAATAAGTGGTATAGAAAATAAGTTCAGAAGAAGGAGGAGGATATTGCAGACTGGGCTGGAAATGAAGAGTTTTATGGAAAAAAAAACAGGTAAAAATTTTTTTTAGCAGATCAAACATATTACTTCATGTTAGTAAAGGAAGTACACAAAATGTTTAAGTTTGTGAAACATCTGTGACCTTTTCAGTAAAAGATACTGTACCTAAAATTACAAAAAGTTGCCTGTTATTCAACATTGATTCAAAGTACAAACCAAAGAGGTGAAATGTAATTTTGTCCTTAAAAAATTAACACAGAAAGCAATTTGAAAATGAAAAAGAAATATAGTTACTTTATCTCTATGGCTAGTTGTAATTGTCTAGTTACTTTTTAAAAAAGGCATGTCTTAGAAATACAAAGATTAGAAGATTTCACTTAACTCTGCAGAATGTATACATACAATATCCGTTTGTATGTATCAATTTACCAAAATTAATTTACAAATTGATAAGGGTTGACTTTAAACAAATTTATAATAAATTTACCGATATCTGGAAAACAGATGGAAGTAAGCAAAAATAAGAAGAATCTACATTATTCTGATTTTATTGAATGAACTCATAAAAGTCCATCTTTCTAACTACTCATACCAACAAATCATTATGATTCTTAGTCCTGCACTCAATTTTTATAGCATGAAGTAAGTAATCTACCATGTCTTCCAATTTGTCTTAAATTATCTTGGATTTCTAACATTGAGAACACCATTACCCTTGAACAAGAAAAGATATAGTATATTTGCTATATGATCTACTCATGCCAGTATACAAAAATATATACATTTCTAATCAGGCTGTTTTTCAATGCCTTTTAAAATATAGTGCTTCATAATCTCAGATGATAAAAAATTTATCTGTCTATAGTAGTGGCTACCTTTCAAGTAAATAGAAGATAGATTCACACCTTTAAGTATTTATACATAGTGATGGTATATCATATCCACTCTATTTCTAATCAGCTAAAAACATGAGTCTTGAAAAAAAGATAGTAACTTCTCTGGAGGCAAAAGCATGTGTGTGTGTATAGAAGCACGTGTACGGATATGTAGGTGTGTGTGTGCATGTGTGTACAGGTGTCAATGAGAGCTGCTCCCTCAGATGGGCACTAGGCTAACGCCGTCACCTCTTCAGGCGTCTGCTCTGGTCTACCCTCATTGAGACCCGCCCCGACTAGCCCATTTACTAATGAAAGCTATCCTCTTCCTAGTAATCTCCCTCTCTCTGCTCTACTTTTTCTCCTATAGCACAAATCACCTTCTAAAACAGTATATAATTTATTTATCTTTCTTACTTACTGCTTGTCTTTTCCTGCTAGAATGTAGGGATCTTTATCTGTTCCATGCACTGATGTATGGCAACAGCCTAGACTAAAGCCTGGAACACAGCAATCACTACTCAATCAGGATCTGTAGAACTAAAGTGAAATGAAACGAATGAGACCAGACACACACAGTCACACACATACAACAAAAAATCGAACAGTTTCTCTGTGGACATAACTGCACATAGAAATATGCTACTTTTTGTAAAGCGGAGTTAACTATGTCTCTTGGATGGGGTTGGGGATAATAAAAAATTCTGCCTTTAAGGGATATTAAATTCATAGCCTGACACCTAAATTACATGTTTATCAGATGAACTTGAAGCCACCTCTACTGCTGCAGCTCCCGGCTCAGCTGTCACGTCCTGAGGGTCACCTTCACTGGCCACCTCACCTAAGAGCCCCCGTCACTCTCTAGCCCTTATCTTCCTTAATTTCCTTCATAATTAGGATCCCTGCATAATATTATGTTGAAAATTTGTTTGTTTATTGTCTATCTCCTCCAGGAAAACAGGGACCTCGTCTGCCTTCCTTACTGCTCTATCCCATGTGTTTGGGCCAGTGCCTGACACATTTGTCGGCGTGAATGCACTGGGAATTCGCACGCACTTGTGTTGTTCTTCACATGAGAATGACACAATTGTTGTCTCCAGATCTGAAGTTGCTAAGCAAGCATTTGTATTATTCCTTCACTAGTAAACAAACAAACAAAAAATAGTTCTTCATGCTTCATACCATATCGAGTGAGATGGTTAAAAGGTTTGGATAGAAACATGCTAGATATTATTCCACCAAATGTCAATGAAATTCAGTATTGACCTGGAAGATAAAATCTTAAATATTATTATTCAAAAGTTTTAGATTTGCTCTTTGTTTTTTCTGAGTAAAACCATATTCATTAGGTTGAATTATAAGTAAAGACGGTGATTTAAAATTCTGTGACATTCCACATGACTTAAAGATGTAAGCAAGGCAAATGTAAGAGTAAAGAGCAGTTTAGACCCCTTTGCTCTTTAGTCTTACTTCTCTGTTTCCCTTCTGGACTGGGTGACAACAGCAGGATTGAATGACATTGCTGCTTGTGAGTGACACTATCAGGATTGATAATGGGTGGCAAATGCAAAAAGAAGCAAGACTCTAAAAAATACCATTCTGGGCCAGCCCTGATGGCCTAGCAGTTAAAGTTTGGTGCTCTTACCACTTCAGCGGCCCGGGTTCGCTTCCTGGTCTTGGAACCACACCACCTGTCTGTCAGTAGCCATGCTGTGGCATCATCCCACATAGAAGAACTGGAAGGACTTCCATCTAGGATATACAACTATGCACCGGGGCTTTGGAGAGGAAAAAAAAAAGAGGCAGACTGACAACAGATGTTAGCTCAGGGCGAATCTTTCCCTGAAAAAAACCCTATTCTGTAAAGGGCGTTGTTTACTCTGTCCGTTCTGTCTGGGCCCACAATCTTCACCAAAACTATCAGTTGTGAATACATCTTTAAAATACTTAAAAGGATGTTTTAGATTTCAGAACTTGATAAAGTTCACAAAAGAAACTGATGAAGAATTATAGAAACCACACTTTGAGATTAACTATATAACTGAAGCACAAATGTGTTAGGTATTTGTCTTTACTAAAATGTTTCAAACTGTTGAGAGTATAAACAAGAAACGTCCTTCTTTTTTCCAATGCCTCCCCAACAATACCAAAGGGCTTCCGTTTTTTCAGAGAGTGGCTCCTATGGTACCTTACACATATTCTCTGCTTTTCAGGCACCTTATTGGAACAGTCACAATCTAAGATCAGAGAATCAATCCTGTCAACTTGAAACCATCAGCCTCCAGCTCTTCTTCCCTCCTCCCGCTCGCCAATCCCCAGTGCAAGAGAGCTCGAGATGGAGGCAGTGGGGGCAACCCAGCTCTCGGGCACCTGCTTCTCCTGCCTCTTCTAGGCTTGGTGCCCTTGGCTTGTGGCAGAGGGAAGGGAGAGGGTAAGGGCAAGTGCTTCCCTGCTTGACCGGGCGAGGACGCAGTCTTCGTTGACTGGATGTTGATAACTTCTACCTGGCAATGTCCAAAGCTGGATGTCTTTGGCTGCAAGCCAAAGTGAGGCTTCTCTGAGGGAGCCTGCGGGGCCCCCACTCCCTGGCTTCCTGAGGGTGGACATCTGGCTCCAGCTCCCTGGCCCCCTTCATTCCTCATGCTATAGCTCTTCCGTCTTGCTGCTCAGCCCACTCACCTCCCCTGGTATTCACACCACCGGTGGGAAACCTCACTATCCTCGCCACACCAGGGGATGGGCATGGGGCTACTGTCCATTGTCCTGGCCTCTCAGTCCATCAGGTGCAATTTCTGCTTCCCTACTCAGCTCCAGGAGACCAGCAAATCCATGGCCAAGCAAACGTCCAACAGAGAAGAGAGACGTGTCCCCCCCCCCTTTCATAAACTCAATCTTCAGAAGTGATTCGCCTTGAGCACACTCCACTCCAACTACTTTTGGGAACAGCTTGTCCACAGACGTTGCTTTCTCCACAATAGGCGTCCTTTCCCTCTCTTGTTTCTTTGACTAACAGTAGATAGGAGTGCTGGTGGTGGTGACAGGGCTGGTTGTGACACTGCTCAGTTGATACTGTGCGGTTATTAAAAGTTATTTTAAGTTACGATGTGGAGCATTTGATGCATTTTATTTTCAGTGTTGGGGCATAATCACAGTTACAGGGCAATGGAAAACCTGTTTTCAATGTTATAGATGTGTTTTTGAGAATTAACTATTCATGTTTAACCAGATAATCAACAGAGGTTTTCTTTTTGAAAGAAAATGCTTTTCAATTATTAATCAAGTTACTTCTGCTTTCAAAAGCTGCTGTTTCTGATGTACACTGAACACACGTGTGGAATCTTTTGTGCCAGACTTCTGTTTTCAAGCACTCTAATGTGAGAAGGGTGGTTAGAAACAACAATCCATTAAGGTTTCTACTTAACCTTTTCAGGACTGAACTGTCTCTCGTTAAAATTTTTTCCCTGCATTATGATGATGTTTGCCATTTACATGCTTATGTTTAGCCTATTTCTCGTACCGGGCAGCAGGCTCTACACATTCAGTCCTTTAGGGGTTTACTTTACAACTGTGTGCTATAAGGTTTATCAGCAACCAAACAGAAAACTGAGTAGGTTTATACCACAATTTTGTAGAAGAAAAATCTGCTCAGCTCTATATTTCATCCATGAACAATTTACAATGTGGGCAGTTTCAAGGAACAAGGAAAAATAAAATGTAAAACCAAAAAAGCAATGTAAAAATTTTAAGTTAAACATACAAACAGTTCCTGAGAGCAAGAATTCTTGAATAGGATGGAATCATTTTGCAGTAGGGTTTTTAGATTGTTTCTTCCAGGCCCATGGTTTCCTTGGGATCTGTAACTTTATAATCTTCGCTTTCTTCTATTTTCACTTTAAGTTGTTTAGTTAAAAAACAGGCTAACATTCAGCATTTGAATGGCCATCACTAACACCATTACTACTTAAGAAGCACACATTCTTCTTTCATCGACCTATTGTGTATATAAATTATTTTCATTCCTGTTATTGATTCACTATTTAATCCAGGTTTCCCTTCAAAACAGATTTCTGTTAATTTTTCATTGCCAGCGACAATGTATTGGCTGATTATATGTGAGTTTTAAACTGATTTACTATTATCTGTTGACTGAATCTGGTAACTTTGGGGGGAGTAATTTTACTTTTTAAAGTGGAAGATACCTTATAATTCATACACAGGATAGAATAATTAGTGTTTTTATTAAGAAAACAGCTTAACCATGTATCTAAACATTCAACAGAGTTGATGTAGTTGAGAAAGCAGATTTTTTGTTGATTCTTTTGCAGGACGTGGGGAAAAAAACACTTTTTTTTATCGTATGAAATTGATTTGAATGCGTGAAAACTTACATCACATTAATTTTGAGATGATTCAGATAACTTAATCATTTTGGCAAGCTGAGTGGCGATGGTAGGTGACAAAAGTGGGTATGACAGCACACGCACTGTCTCTCTGACTAAGCCACTAAACCTTGGGAGTGGGCTGACTAGCAGTGACTTATCGAAAGCCATTCATACCAACTCTTCTGCCTGGCACGGAAAGCACTCCGAAGTGTTGCCACCTGATTCTACATGAATCCCACCAGCCCCCGCTGTTTCTCTTTGACTGGTTGCAGTCACTGACCCACGCTCAATTCTGCTTCTGAGGTGGCCTCAGTGTGCCTCCCCAGATTTATGAGGTACTCACCCCCAGTACCTCAGAATGTGACTCTATTTGCAGACAGTACCTTTGAAAAGGTAATTAAGGCTAAACGAGGTCACATGAGTATGCCCTAGTCCAATACGACTGGTGTTCCTGTAAGACGGGGACTTTGGAGACAGACCTGCATACAGGGGGAACACCGGGTGAACATGAGACAGCTGTCCACAAGCTGGGACAGAGGCCTTTGGAAGAAAGGACCCTGTCTTGGACTTCTAGACTCCAGAACTGGGAGGAAGTAAATCCGCTGTGTGGGCCACCCAGGATGCGTACCTTGTTGTGGCAGCATGAGCAAAAGAACAGTCTGCCTTTGCCCCTCACTGAAAATGTCCCTCCCTGTCACCACATCTATCCAAACTGTCACTCGGCATGCAGCTTAAACAGCACTTGGTGAAGTTACTGTGACACACAGTCCTCTCACTTCCGTTTCTGATCAGGCAGAGAATTAGAGTCTGTGCCATGGGTCTCAGCGACTCCTGGCACACACAGCAGAGGACTGGCGCATTAATAAGGGCATGCAGTGAGCTTGGGGCTTGCAGGTGTTGCTGCTGTTACTGTTGCCAGTTATACTCTTCTCTAATCAAATCATGTTATTACTTGTAGTACAACGCTGGGCATATAAGTGCTAGGAACGCTCGCTGCTGTACCAAACACTTAGGTCCAACCTTACTCATTGCACAGATCTCTTTGGAACAGCTGCTTATTGGCTCTCCTATTCTGTCTATAGGATAAGATGATGAATAAAAATACGTGGTCTCTACCTTCAGTTTGCTTACAATTGATCAAAAAATTTTCACTTCCTTCTGGAAAAATATCTTTGAGGACTTATCATCTGTCAGTACTGTGCTAGAAATTGGGGGAAAAAAGACAAAGAAGACATGATTCTGGCCCTTAAGAAGCCCATTGTCTAGTATGGCAAAACCCAATTCTATAGGACGGTTAAGGGAAGAACAAGCAGGTTCAGAAAAGTTTCACAGATGATGAGTCCCCAAGGAAGAGGTGTTATCTACTGCTGTGTAACAAGTTAATCCAAGCCTTATCAGCTTAAAACAAATACTTATTTCTCAGACTTGGCAGAGGCTGAAGGCATCTCAGGCTCCTGTGCGTGGTGCTGCAGGTTTCGGGCCCCCGCTGGCTGTCGGACTCCCTTTCTGGGCATACAGGCTGCCTGTGCATGCTAGGACACGGCAGCTGGCTTCCCTCAGAGCGATTCAAGACAGCACGCATGAGGAAGAAGTCCCGGAGCCTTCTACGACCTAGTCTCAGACTCACGGTCACGTCCATCTTATTCTGTCTATTGGAAGAAAGTCACAAAGTCCAACTCACACTCAGAGGGAGGTGAATCAAGTCCCACCTCTTGAAGAATGGAATATCAAATAATTTGCGACATATTTTTAAAACCAGCATAGAACACTACACAAATTTGTTAGGACATTTTGGGGGAGGGATAGGTGACTCAAGGCAGAAGGAAGAAACCTGAAGGGCGTGAGGAGGAGGCAGCACGGAGCGCTGGGAGGCGACCACAAGGAGTACGCGAGGCTGCGGATGTGGGAGCTGTATGTCAGGAAAGGCTCCCTACCCCGGGCAGGAGTCTGCACTTCTGTCCTGCAGGTGGCGAGGCGTCAGCACAGATCTTCCGCAGCGCGTGCCCAAGAGGTGCTGCAGGGTCTGGTTTGGAAGGCTGGACAGAGGTAAGACTCAGCGAAGACAAGCCAAAATGGTTACGGGAGGTTATGAGGGAATGAGGAAGGGAATGACCGAAGGAATGGAGAGGTAAGGGTGGATCCCAGACATGCTTAGAAGGTAAAACATCTAAGAATTGGTAAGCAGTTGTGGGGCACAAGGAAGAAGAAAGGATAAAAGATATCAGGCTTGGCAACTGAGTATGTGGTACTATTTCCCCAAATTATCCATTTGTTTCTTTAAAGATAAAGGCAGCCTTTTAATTAGTATTATAAAAAATGTTTAATTCTACAAAAATTAAAGAACTATGAAATAGAGATGATTAAATAAAAATAACCGTAATAGTTACTTCTGCAAGGTTGAACTAACACCATGTGTATATCCTGTCAGACTTTTGTGAGACACAGAAATTTTTACAAAATTGGAATTATACTTTAAAACTTTCTCTTTGCACTTAACATGTCATGTCGATAAAATTTCCTTCAAATCATTTTTAATGGCTAAATACTGTTCTGTCAAGTGGATGAGGCTTAATTTAACTAATATCCTAATAAACAATGCAGACATGAACACTCTTGGAGTCCAACTGTTACACATATGCTTATCCCTTATGATACATTTCTGGAAGAGGAATTGCTCAAGGCTTTCGATACATATTGCCAACCGCGCTCCAGAAACGCGCCAGTGTACGCTCTTGGCAGTGGAGGCAGCTCTGTCTCCCTGAACCCTTGCCAGTATCACCAAGACATAACCACTTGTTAAAATAACACCTGAAGACCAAATCATGTCTAACACAGGCTACGCCACTCACAAGTTGGTCTTACTATTAAACTTTTGTAGTATTCCCACTCAAAGCTTAAGATTCTGACGTATATTTTAGGGGAACAAGGTGAGGCCCAGTACATTACACACATCAGACCGACATTCGGGGGAGTTCCTGCCCTAGACAGTACACTGCAGCTCCTTATGATCTGACAGTCTGCCTCACCAAGTAAGCTTTCTTTCCCCCTGTAATAAGCTTATAAGTTTCCCAGAAAAAGGGATACATCTTCATTATCAAGGGCTGGAAGCTAGGCATATTCCGTCAGTTTAGCACTATTTTTCCTGGCTGCTTCCTGGCTTGGATTTTACACATTATGTGTTGAAGAAAACCTTTCAAGACATTTATTTACAAAAAAAAAAGTCTACCTAATCTTGGCTAAGGATCTACTTCATTCACTGAATGGCTGAGTTCTTCACTGTCTCATTCATTCCATGGTCCTCATCTAACGTCTACCAGGTGTAGGGGAGAGGGCAGTGCTCAACGTTCTCAGGGAACTCACGTTTTAGTAGGGTGAAGGGAACAACAGGAAAGAAGACAACCATCAGTTATAAATGCTAAGAAGTAAATGGAGGGCATGAGAGAGAATAAACGGGAAAAGGAGCTACTGTAGATACAGTGGCCAGGGAAGGCCTGTCAGGGACGACAGCTGAGTTAAGACCTGAAGGATGAGAACGAGTCAATCTAAACAGACACAAAGAACACACAGCCCACACAGAGAAAAATAGCAAGTGCGAAGGTCTTGAGATGAAGTATCAGTCAAGATTAAGTTCAGTTGACAAGAGACCCTTAATCGTGGCTTTAATAAGACAGTTTACTTTATCGTCACATCAAGACCTGCAGGTAAGGCGTGCCAGGCTGGTACAGGACTACACAAAGGTCTCAAGGACCCAGGTTTCTAAAATCTTAAACTTCTGCCATCCCTAGGATGGGGGGGAACTTGCATACGGCCCATGTAGAGTTCCAGGCCATCACACCTGTATCCCAGGGTGCAGGATGCGAGGAAAAGAAACAGAGGACTGAAGGTGAGCACCAGCTGTCTTTTAAGGATGGTTCTGGAAGGGTATCACACGACAGGTCGGCTCATATCCCATTGGCCAGAACTACCATATGGCCACAGGGAGGCTGGAAAATATAATCTTTATTCTTGACAGCCATGTGTCCATGTGAATTACTACAGAAGAAATGGAGAAATTTTAGGGGACAACTAACAGGTTCTGCTACAGACCAGCGAGAGCTTGGTGCGCGACAGAAGCAGAAGGGAGCCAACGGGCAGGGGGAGGACAGACCAGGCGGGAGGGGCAGGCAGGGCCAGATGAGGCAGTTTTAAAGGCCATGGCAAGGAAAGCGGATTTCACTCTATTCCCAGGGAAGCTACTGGAGAGTTTTAAACAAAGGAGTGACATAACCCTATGAAGTTTTAAAAATGATCACACTGGCCAGTATGTAGAGAATGGTTTCAAGGAATGTAGGGAAAAGTGGAAGCAGCTAGTGTGGATGTTGCTGTGCGAGAAATGATGGTGGCCTGGACGGCGAGGGAGCACTGGAGGGGATGCAAAGTGGCTGGATTCAGAATGTACATAAGGAGGACCTGATGGTGCTGGCTGCTGAGTGGGACCCAGACGGTGAGGGATGACGGAAGATTCCTAGTGTGACGCCGACGCAAGTGAGTGAACTGTGGTGGCACCGTGCATGGAAATCAAGAAGACGACGGGAGGTTCTGTGTCAGCACGTTAAACTGGAGACGCCTGTCATTGTATCTCTTGTCGTGGTGCAGCCTTGCTTTCCTACAGCTGGTCACCAGTTAACAAACTCACTCTTCCTATGAGGTACACAAGGAATGCACTTTACACACGCAACACATATTTAGTATGGACTGTTTTTCAAGTAAAAGTAAGAACATCTGTCAAAGTGAATAGTCAAAAAAACCCCAAAGGCCACAAACTCTCTACCAACCGGGCAAATTTGATCAACATTAGCAATAAAGATGAACTTTTTGATGCAATACGACAATTTAAAAAAATACACCATTTAGAGTGCTTACTAGAAAGCCTTAAATGTAAGCCCTTAACAAATGTTAGCTCATTTAACACCTAGAACCAACTTCTACAGTAGGTATCAAACAAACTTCACAAACTTATAATAGATGAGCACCAGTAATAATACGATTTAAAACCTGTTTTTTAACAAGGCTTGAAGTAAAATTACCCTCAACAGTGTCCTCAAGAAAGCAGTAGGATCAGTGTATTTTTTCCCTATCACTCCTACCCTACACATTTACCGTGAAAACGTTTGTTGTTCCATCTCTTCCAGTAAAAAAACATCACGGTAACAAAACCTTCCAATTAGACCTGTCCCCATTTGGAAGCGATAGCTCCAATTTCACCGACGTTCACGCTATTTCAAACTTTTACTTTTTTGCGTACATACAGTGACGGCAGGAATAAGGTCTGAGATTTGGCCTCAACGAAGTGCCATCCCGAAGTCACACTACAGACTGGAACGGTGAGGAGCCCCCGACGCTGCTGCACGTGAGCGCACACCCTGTTTCATCACCGAGCCCTGCGGTCCCAACGCTGCCGGCCACGCTTCTAATGCACCAACAGCTCAGGGGCGCGGCCACCCCGCCCGCACCGCGCACCTGCACCTGCGCCCGCGGCCTCCACGCCCGGACCGGACACCTGCACCTGCGGCCTCCAAGCCCGGACCGGACACCTGCACTTGCACCTGAGGCCTCCGCGGCCGCACCGCGCACCTGCACCTGCGCCCGCCGCGTCCACACCGCACACCTGCACCTGCGGCCTCTGCGCCCAGACCTCACACCTGCACCCGCGCCCGCCGCGTCCACACCGCGCACCTGCACCCGCGGCCTCCGCGCCCGGACCGCGCACCTGCACCCGTGGTCTCCGCGGGCCAGGGCCGGGTGTCGGGGGCTCCTGCGGGCACGGGGGCAGCGGCCTCCTCGGGGCTCCGCGGGGACACAGTGGGGCACGCCGTCTGCGGAGACGAGCGGGCGGACGGGAAGCGCCCCCGCCCCCGGCCCGCCGGCCCCCGCGCTCGCGCCCCGCCCCCGCCCCGCCGCGGGCCTCCGGGAGCTCGGCGGGCCCTATGAGGGGCGCACGGGCGGGCGCGGCCCCTCTCGCGGAACAGGGCTGCTTCACGGGCCGCTCGGCGGCGCGCGGCTCCCCGCCCGGACGGACGCCCGACCCCGCCGGCGGCTCCCGCGGCGTGCGCGCGCCCCGTGCCGCTCGCCGGGACGGCCGCGGAGCCGGAGCCGGAGCCGGAACCGGAGCCGCCGGGGACACGCGCGAGGGAGGCGCCCGGCCCGCCGCGACCGCCGCTCCCACCTTCCGCCGCCGCCTAGAACGAAGCCGGACGGCGGGGGTCACGGCGGGGGTCAGAGGGTAAAGGTCCTGCTCCCAGCAGCCTCCGCGGTGGATACGTCGCCATCTTGGATCCGCGGGACAAGAAAATTCATGCGGTGAGTTTTTGGCAAATTTTCGGAAGTCTGGCAGCGGGGCGCGCGGCGGGGGCGGCGGATTCAGGGCCCCCGCAAGGCGGGGGAGCGCCCCGGGGCCGGGGCGGCCGCGCCTGGCGCCGGCGGACAGCGTCCCGGGCCGCCGCTTCCCGTTGCTTTTGTCTGGCTCCCATCGAGAGGGCGAGCGGCGGGGAGGGGGTGGCGGCGGCGGGCGCGGGCGGCGGGCGGCCCCGGTTCTGGGCCCGGGCTCCGCCGGCGTGCCGGCCCCGGGCGGAGGAGCGCGGCCCGAGCGTACGGCTGTCCCCGATGCCGCGGCCTCCGCGCTCGCTGCCGGCGCGCCGCCCGGCGACGTGGGAGCGGGAGCGAGCGGGAGAGAGCGGGGCCGCCGCCCGCCGCCTGCCGCCCGCCCGCGGCCTGGCCGGGACGCGGTCCGCACGGAGGCAACCCGGGCGCGGCCGCCGCCGCCCCAGCGCGGCGCCACTTCCGCCGGGCCCGTCCGCCCGCGCCGCCCGGCCCTCGCGGAAAAGTTTGGCGGAAGCGGCGAGCGGCTCCCGGGCCTCCCGTCCCGGCCGGGGGCCCTCCTCGGCGGCGAGCGCGTTTCCAGGGTTTCCGCACCCGCAGGGATCCCCGGCCCGGGGGCGCGGGCCCACCCTCGGCGGCCTGGGCGCCCGCTTCCTCCGCACGCCCGGGGCGCCTTCGCTCCCCTCCGTCCCGAGGCCGCAGCGGCACGTTTTGTTTGGGGTTGGGAAAGCGGGCCCGAGGATCCTCCTCCTCCCTCCGTTTTCTGGGCGGTTTCTGATGGTCAAGTTCTCTGATGTCAACCCTCAGATTCTCGGCGAAATGCTGGGAGGTACTGAGTTAACAGTCTGTGCAGAGGGAGGCCGCGCTTGAACGTGGAGTTCAGAGTGGGACACGTTTCCTGTCATGCTTGGTGGCAGGAATTCTAGACCTCTAGAATCGTGAGTGCAACTTTCGATTTGCTTTTTGAGACACCCCAAGTGGAGATGATGAAGTGGGGGGCAGAGAGGTTTGAAGAGTGTCTGTGTGCATACCTGCTTCCTGTTGGGCTGTTTGGGAATGTTTGGAAACAGGTATTTCCCCAGCGTTAGTGCCCACATCTCCTGCAATTTTGGAAGATAAGTTTATCCCAGATTTAAAGGATTGTTTAAGAATCACGGTGGACTGAAATGGTTAAATGCCTGCATTCACATGGTTAGATGTCTCCATTCAGATTCTTGTCATTGAAATGCTTCTTAATGGACCAAGAGCTTTAGTAAGTTTTTTATGTTGAACTTTTTAGTTTGTAGTTCTTTTGTAATATTAAATCTGAAGGAAAAATACAAAAAACACGTAAAAAAGATAAAACTCCTCTTGCTCCACTTCTTTCTTGGCTTTGTAAGATCCTCATTTAATTTTAAAAAGGTACTTTTCTCATTTTTTTCTGAGGGCTTGAATTGCGGTGACTTCTGTGAATACTTCGTATTTTAGACAGCAGTTGAGAAACTTTCAGCTTTTTTTGCATCCTAATTATTCCTACATCAATAAAAATAACCTAAGCATCATTTTTTGGCAGAACCGTTTTATTCTACGTACGCTGTATAGAGGTATCTGTAATCTAATCTGATACTCTTGGGAATGAGAATTGCCTGTATCTTTAACCAAGCAACAAACGCAACCTTTGAAAACTTTCAGTTTCTATAATACTTGCGTTTTGAGGTAAATTTATATGGTGGAAAAATGAGGGCAGAATGCTTGGGTATGAGTGATTTATATTCGCGTCGTTAGAGAAGTACGTGATCTTGAAGATGAAAGTCAGAATGATACTCTTCCCCAAGAGAACTAATTACCTATGTTTTTACTCAATAACTTTGGAAGTTTAGTATACTTCTTGATTATTCAGAGATAGTTTACAGTTAAAACCTGAAAATTCTCTTTGTTCAAAAGTAAATAAAGTAGTTGATTTATGAATAGATTTTATTAGAAGTGTTTCTAACTCACTTGTTTTGGATTTTATCTTTTCAGTACGTATTCGTATTAGAAGTACTTGAGTTTTGAAAGACGCTTACAGAATTTTTCACAACTCGTGGGAAGTTATAGTTTCACCAAACTTTTTAGTGACAAGTTTGCTTCATAAGCTTTTCTGATGATATAGAAAAATATAGAAAAGTTATGCTTCACGTCAATATATGAAATAATGAGCAGACTCTAATTAGTAAAAATAAGTGAGGTAATTTATTTTTTTAAAAGCAGTGTTAACTAGTGTTTTTTGATTGTCTTAAAGTTTTTAACTGTAACAAGTGCACTCTATTATGAATACATCTTTAAAATCAAACTTCCCATATGCTTGCTTGAATAGGCATTTGAGGACAACTTATGCAAATAGTGATACTGTCTTAATTAGGAAAAGATACTACTAAATAAGATTGTGTTTGTTACCTGGACCTCTGGTGGCTTTTGTATCACAAAGAACCAGAAGAAACCAAGGCACCAGGTGGGCAGTTTGAGAGGCAGAGCTCATCTGAGCTGCTCTGTCCTCTTTGACTAGGATTACGTGCAATGTCAATGCCAAGGGTCTGGGGCTGTGACAGGAGTCCTTCTGGTTGGTGAGGCAGGGGAATTTTCTTCCTTACTAAGGATGATCTCTACCTGTGACACTTAAAGGAATTGAATTTCATTGTGATTTTAATAGATATTTTGAAAAGAGCTGTACTAAAATTGGTGTCTGTCATAGAAAGTCTGCCGTTGAAAAGAAATAGGGTGGACATCAGGGTTTTAAGTTTTTAAAATAATTATTATTTATTTTTTGGTGAGGAAGATTGGCCCTGAGCTAACATCTGTGCCAGTCTTCCTCTATTTTGCATGTGGGACACACTGTCTTGTTATTTATTGAACATCCCCGCCATCTACCTTAACCTCCACTGGACTGTGAGCACCTGAGAGGTAGGGCTTTATCTTATAGTATTTACATTTCTAGTACCTTCTATAGTGCATAGTACCTAGTAAGTTATTAATAAAAATGCAGTGAACTGAACTGGTGCCAGATTGTCATTTGACACTTAGTGCTGTCGGGAGTGCCATTTCCCAGTCCGTGAATCAGAAACAGAATGGAAAAGGGGCTGGGGAGAAGGCCACCTTGTATTGCTCCGCTTGGTGAGTCCTGTCTTACACTTTTGCTTCTTAATCACTCGTGGGAAACTCGATAACCAGTTTCTTAGAGAAATGTGTCTAGAGTGAGTGCAGGACTGAGGGAAGGATGTTAGTGATAAAGTGCTTCTGGCAGAGTGTTTAGGTCTGTACTTCTTGCTGTATTTTGTGTGGCTAAGGTTGTTGGTTGAAGGAGGTATTTTGTATTTGTACGGTTGGCCCTCCAAATCCATGGATGCAGAGGGCTGGCTAAGGAACTTGAGCACCCCACAGATATTGAGAGACAACTGTATTTACACAGTAATATATATTTACCATTGCTTAACCTTGAGCTTCTATTAGATTTGGGCTTTTTAAAGTCAGATTCTGTGTTTTGTTACTTTTTTCCACCAAATGCCTGGTCCAATGCCCAGTACAAAGTAGGAGTTCTCTAGTTTGAATGCTAGTCTCCTTATGAAAATTGGGTGAGATGATTTAATGTATCTTCATTGGCAATCCAAAATCCAAAAAGCTCTGAAAACTGGATTTTTTTAAGCAAGATTGGTGGCAAATTCCAAATGTAATTGGTAGCCTAATTATTGTCTTTATCTGTCTTAACCTAATTTTCCAATATTTTGATGCAGAAATATCGATGTAAAATGTAATTGGTAGCCTAATTATTGTCTTTATCTGTCTTAACCTAATTTTCCAATATTTTGATGCAGAAATATCGATGTGTTTTTGATTACAGATGCTGCCTACCCTCTAGTGTTAGGTCCTGTATGATACATGTACAATTTTACCTTTCTAACATCTGAAAAATTCCAGTTCTGAGAAATGTCTGGCCTTTAAGGGTTTGAATAAGAGATTGTGCACCAGTTTTGTTTCTGTTTTTGAGATGTAGAAATCAAATCCCAGAATTTCATTTAGTGAGATGCTAACATTTGACTTATGATTTTAGAAATCTTTTTGTATGTTTCATTTGTCTGTATATTTTCCAGAGGCTTTTTAATGACTAAAAACTACTAAAGAGGCGGAGAGGGTATATTTTTTAAAAGAGAATTTGATCCGGTACTCAGGACGCCAGTCCTTTCTCTGCTTTACTGACTTGAAATGTGTTTCCTTATGTGAAGTAGATGAGAATTTAGTAAACTTCTTACTGAAGTAAAAAATTCACTTAGTAAATTTTTGCTTTGCCAAGGAATGATAAAATAAGCAAGAGAAAATTATGTGTCCTGGTAATTTAAGTAACAATGAGCAGACCTGCTTTTTTCCAAACATGTTGATATACCATTTTTCCACTTATGTATTTGGATATTGAAACATAACTCCATTTTGTATCAGCATCTGGACAAAATGTAATGACTGATTATGTAATACAATGTGTTTGGGAGAGGAGCAATTTGGTTTTGTGTCATATCTGGCAGGAATGTGTTTTTGTGTTACTTTTTACATTGTAAATTATAATACTTGTCCTTCATACAAATTTTGTATTTAATTTCCTATTTGTAAAAGAATCTTTCATAGATTGGTAAAATAATAATATTTAGTAAGTTTATCATGCCATTCAAAGAACGAGATTCCTTCTGGTTTAATTTTACTACTTAATATTTAAAAAATGCTGTGCAGCTTGCAAAGCACTTTCAGATATATTATCTCAATTTTATGTGGTTGTCATTTTGATGTTAACTTTTTAAATAAGGTTAAATTTTTATATTAACATAAAGATAGAACAATCGAGTGGTATTGATTAGTGTGAAAATTAGCAACTGGGAATTACGAAGGCCATTTTATCCTTAGACTGGACCCAGCATCTAATGTCTTTCTCAATTTAATGCTACTGTATGGGGAAAATCCTGATTTATCGAATTAAGTAGGTG